CAGAATAATGATTCACAGAGGTAAAAGAGACAGGCAGACACAGAGGCATAAAAAGGGTGAGGTGAGTACTGTAGAAGAGACGAATATGACAAATAGTCATCGGCTCATTGTAGTTTGAAGTCAGAAGTCAACTGCCGGTTGATAGACTTGTTGAAGTCAGAAGTCAACTGCCGGTTTGATAGACTTTTTTGTCGCATAAGTATACGTTGCCCAGGGTGGACCACGTGGAGGTAAGATGTAAGAAACGGAGGAAAGTGGTGCATTTCGGAATTTTGAGTTAAAATTGGTGAAATTTCACTGGACAAATATATTGATTAATCGTGTTTTAAAATAACACATCTTCCAACTCTTGCCATTTCTACATTCATAATTCAAGTTGATTATTTACTGGGTGGTTAAAAACTTCATTTCTGACAGATAATTTCCCTTTCAAAAATGAAATCTTCAAGAGAATCCAAACAGTCTGGGCTGCATAAGGGAATTTCCACGGGTGAGTACTACGCTGTATTTCTCTTCAACACATCAACCCACGACGGGGAAAGCTTCTTAATTCACTCCAAAATGATTGCAAACTTTGTCACTCCAAAACACAAAATTTCTCCCTTCACCCAACCTCAATAGTCCCGATTTCACCTTGGTCAACTTCCCCCAATATGGGCATTTAAGCTTTATGAGTAAATATTATTGATTTTCAAACAAAAAATGCCGAAACTGGTGAATGCTTTTTTATTTATTTCTTTTATTTTCACAAGACCATTTGCTTTCTCAAGGTGGAAGTGCCAAAATTCAGTTATTTATCTAAAAATCCTTCTTTGGCAAGGTCCTGATTAACGCCATTGTAAAGCTTTAAGATTTCATTAAGACGATTTCTCATTAGGGCTAGAATGCCTTTGTCCACGAAGTTATATGTTCTTGTGTACTCGAGCAGACGATCGAACAAAGCTTCGTACGTCTTTCTAATATCTTGTGGAAACGGTTCTGTCGCTGTTGATATCTTGTCTTCAACGGTCTCAGTTGCTACAGGAGTGGATAATGTCGGCTTCCCCGTAACAACAGAAGTCTCGTCAGCTTTTGCCTCTGAAGTATGCACTTCACTAACTCCTTCCATCTGCGTTGGAAGAGATTCAGTTGACTCCGTAGCGATTTCAATTTCAGTATTTTTTTGAGTAAACTCACTAGTACTGGAACCTGAAAATGATTCAGCCGAATGAGTAGAAGACTCGTTGGCAGATAGAACTTCTTCACCGATTTTAACCTCTTCTGTAGAAATGTCTGAAGTTACCTCAGCAGTCGGTTTAGTTGGATTTCCGCCAACTTCAGATAGAGACTTTACAGGTTCGGAAAATGGTTTTGTTACTGAAGTTCCATCGTCAGTTGTGGTCCATTTATTGGAAGTCTGGAAGTCTTGGGGGAGAGCGGCAGCATCACTGAGAGCAATTAGACACAAGAGTATTGTCACTAGGGCTACCATCATGATTTGTGAAATTGGATCTGTTGAGCTTGTCCTCTTAGCACCCTGGTTCAGTTCTATCCAATCAATGGCCATGTACCCTTGCTTTGGGGTGCATGAGTTCAGTTCTTTCGAGTGCATTCCTTTCTCGTGCTATTGGTACACTTATTTCCTCAGCATTTGTTGCAATTAACACACATTAACAATTGTTTAAAAAATATTGAACTAGTCCTCAATCACCGTCCTGAGTATTATTCATGTTGATGAAAAAATAGTGTTAGAAAGCGAGAGCTCAAATGATAAAACATTCCAGTTGAGTTTTTAAGTGAATTTAATGAGGTCCGCTTTACACTTTCACATGCGGGGTGGGGGTATTAATTGGCTTTTCACGATCTAACTTCTTCAAAACCCAAATGATAGTTATCATTTGCCTTTTAGTCGACTTCGGATATCGTGGAGGGGAGGAACAGACAAGGTGAAAAAAACAGCTGAGACTTTGAACAGAAGAGTGATTTAAAGATGTAAATAGACAGACCGACAAAGAGAAAAGGAAAGATGAGTACTGTGAAAGTGCTTGAGTGTGACATACAGTGGGGTCATGGTAGTTTGAAGTCAGGAGTCAACTGCCGTTTAATAGACTTTTACCGTATGAGTTAACGCTGCCCAGGGTGCACCACGTGGAGGTAAGTCTATCGCGCACCCCATTTTCAAGATATAGACATGTCAGCACCCACGCGATCTCATTAATTTCCGGCATAATTTCTCTAGTAACAGTACACTTTTACACGCATTCAAACGCACAGTATTCTATATTCCACTTTTCTCAATTCCTTTTATATTATTGTTATAATCAATATTTATTTATAGTGGCAGGCTTTATGATATTTATCATTAGCCCTAAAACTTTAACTTCAGCTTCCCATATGGGTGGGGGGGGGTACATATATAGCAGTTCATTAGCTGTCTTCTTGCTTCCCAGTTTCTCTGGCTTTCCGTACTTGTCTTTAGAGCTGGACACCGAATCAGGTGGGTCTTCTCCATTTCCTCATGTAGGTTACATAGAGGGCATGTGGGTTGAGTGTATACTCCCAATCTGTGAAGGTGTTTTGCCAAGCAATCGTGTCCGATACGTAGTCCAAACTCAGCAACGGCTTCGATTCTTGGCCAGTCGGATATGTCGGAGAGTGCCATTGTCCAATGTTTCTCCTTTGTTCGAGCTTTAAGTTCGTTGCACCTTGAGGTCGTGAATTCTCTTCTGATTAAGGCCTTTATTGTGTGGAAAGACATCGGCCGGTCCATGCATTGCAAAATCGTTGTCCCCTTCTTAGCAAGTGTGTCAGCAAGCTCATTGCCTTTAATGCCATAGTGACCAGGAATTCATTGTAGAACCACTGTTTTGTTTTTCTCTCTCAGCAGCTGATAGAGTTTTCTACATTCCTTTATCTCAGCTGTTTTGGGTGGCTCTCTGCTTCCAATTGAGTTTACTGCTGATTGTGAGTCCGAAAGTATCACCGTTATAATCAATATAGTCTGTTATTCATTCAATTCATCGTTAGAATATATGTTTATTTTGGGAATTAATTAAATAATTTAACATAAGAGCTTTCTAACTATTCAATCGCTGAAAGAAAAGTACAAATAAAGTCAGCAAGAACGAATGTTTTAAATAAAAGGATCGTAAATTCTCATTCAAGAGGACAATCAAGAGGACAAATCATGAAGTACGCAGTATTAACTATTTTGCCGACTACTTGAAGCATCGAAATTGGTCTCTCTTTGGTTTCAGATGGAAGCAACAATCGATTGTGATTTCAAGCAGACAAGAAACTCCTTCCTTCAGTTCTTTTTCCGTTCGACAAACCAGCGAAGATGCTCTTTACTCCACTAATTCAATTTGTGTATTGCGTCGATCCGAAGTCTAGTGATCTAAGATAGATTTTGGTTTGGTATCAACTTGCATATCAGTCCCCTCTGTATCTTACTTTGCACATTTTGAGAGTTGCAACTGGGAGATGTTGGT